CTCTCCTCCCCCCCTTCCCCAGAAGTTTCTGAGCGGATTTGGGCTGTACTCAGCAAGCACAGTACGGCCCCAAAGTCAGATTAAGAAAAAAAACAGTGGATGGCTGTCCAGTGACTGGTCGGCAGACCGCCGACCGGTCGGCCCAACCGGTAGGCTGCAAAACGGTTGACGGGCACGGTAGGCGGTCAGCTGGGATGCAGCCATGAAGCATAGACTATTGGCAACTAAAGGGAGGTAATTGCTGGAGAAGTAATGTAACAGCAAAGACAAAGCAAAGCAAGGTTGGAAAACCAGAAAGAGGTGAAGGAAGAGGAAGAGGAAGATGTACCGGGTGGAGGAGGAGGAGGAGGAGGAGGAGGAGGAGCAGAAGTACAAGCGGAAAGAAGTAGGATGGGAAGGAGGAGGAGGGGAAAGGAGGAGGACGACGAGGAGTAAGGAGGAGGGGGAATGGGGAGAATATGTGAATACAAATATTTGAGAATCGGAATGCGAGTGAAGTCTGCTTTGTCTGTGTTTAGCATACGGGCGAGTATGTTTTTTTGGCGAGTGAACCTGCATGAATATCACTTGCTAAACATAAAACGATGGGTACATCTGGGAACAATGGATCTCTTCTGCGTGCCTGGTTGTCGATATGCTGTTCTAGTCTTCTAGACTATTTAACACTTGTCTCTGTTAATGCACATTGGTTGCCCAAAGGTGTTAAACAGAGACTTTGCCTTTTGACTCTAAACGTGTTTGATGGACTTGGTGCAGGCCAGAGCTTGTGGGAAAGACGTTTGGTGAAGCCGTGTTTATGTTCAAGAATGCAATCCCCTGTGGGATTCGGGGACAAAAACCCACTGCACTTTCATCCTTCGTGCAAGTCAACCCTCCACTGGACACAATCATCAAGGTGACAGCAGTTCACCCCTTGCCTCAAATCTTACCTCATTTGAACCATACGTTGTGTATTCGAAATGTATGTCACTGAGGCACCAGTCAGCAACCTTGCATGAGGCGGGCAACAGGTGCTTGGAGTGCAGCAAATGCTCTCCATCTCAACGAAAAGGAGACATACCCCCAAGCGCTGCAAGGAAAAACCAGGTCTCTTGTGACCGGAGATGGTTTTGGGAGAGACTTGACATTTTTGTCCCAGGGACCAGGTCTGCTGTTTTTTCGCCTGTAATAACCTGCAAAATTGCAGACTGTGAATCATGTGGTTTTCTGTGCTTTTGCCGTCATTCTGGGTGCTTGCTAGATTTCTCCTGTGTGTTTCAAAAAAAAAAAAAAAAAAAAAATTCTCTCCCATTCCATCACAAATCATCACAAACCATCCATAGAACAAAAAAATGAAAAAATTGTATAGATACTAGATAGGCAATATAGTAGACGATGCAAGGTTGGCCATGTTTGTGTGGTTAAGCGCCAAGTGCCGAAGAGGCACACTTGCACAAATATGTTCTAGTCTGTAAAAGGATGTAGGGCATAAGGCAACATACTTAACAAATGACACAGAACACAAAAAATTGGTTCCACAAATACAACAACACTGGCTGTTACATGCCCAGTTGGGCGATGTACATATAAACCAAGGATCCGCAATGTGATGAAAAGGACTGAATGGACAATGCAGTGCAAGTGAAATCTCAACAAGGTGTACATCCTGATACATACAAAGTGGTGCTTTACAGCGCAGTGGAAGACTTAGATCCAAGTCCTGACCTGACCGGGACTGACCTCTTTCACGTAGTACAAGATAGCGCAGCAGAATACTAGAATACTAATGACTAGCCCAGTCAATGTTACAATGCAGACCAAACATACATCATTCTCACCACACGGTGTGAAGGGAGCCTGGCGCTATACACAGGAAGAGGCACCACGTCCAAATCATGCACAGACGAAGAGGAGAGGATCAGACGGAGAAGAGGAGGGGAGAGATGGGAAAGTCGTCAACACCAAGTCTCGTTACCAGTCCCAAATAATCCCTCGTCAAAACGTCTGAAGTCCAGTGTCGAGTCTGGATCCAAATGTCACCAAGCTCTCTCTCTCTCTCTCTCTCTCTCTCTCTCTCTCTCTCTCTCTCTCTCTCTCT